GCTCATCCTTGTAACTGTTGGCACCTTTGCCATGCAACGATCATGTGACAGCTCAAAAACGACGACAATTACGAGGATGGCGACCCCGACCCACCTGATCCCTGTCACGGTTGATACTTTTTACATGTAAAAAAGATGTCAAAACCCAAAAACGATGACTGTTACATGGATGGTGACCCCGGACCCGCCTGATTGATGTGAACGTTGACACTTTTGACTCGCAAAGCTGTCAAAACCCAAAAACGATGACAGTTACGTGGATGGTGACCCGGACCCGCCTGATCCATGTGACTGTTGACACCTTTGGAATCGCAAAAAACATGTCAAAATCCAAAAGCGATGACTGTTACGTGGATGGTGACCCCGACCCGCCTGATCCCTGCGACTGTTGACACTTTTGACACGCACAAAAGATGTCAAAACCGAAAATGTTGTCACTTTGGACACGCTCACTTACTAGCGGACGCAATACTGTGATTTAACGTATTTGATTATTTCAAGAGGCGCAAGAGTAGCTGATGCTGCAATATTCGTAACTTTAAAGAATTACAAATGCCATTCACTTGACCTCCCAAAATTTCCAACTGCTGCGACGTACTTGGAACTCGAAAAGCCGTTATTTACAGTGTCGGTAACCTTTCAAGGGCTTGGGGGGCCTATCAACCCTAAAGTCCATCTGCAGAACATGGACGAAGATCAGAACACACTGGCTTCTTGCAACCGTTGATAAGTTGCTTTTTGCACCGCGCTTGCATTACCAAATAGCGGGGGGTTGGGGGGGCGCAGCCCCCCTCATCTGCAAACATCACGACAATCAGAACACACTGGCTTCTTGCGAGCGTTGATAGCTTTTTTGCATCGTGACTACATCACGCAAGGGGCGCAGCTCCACCCCATCTGCAAAACATCGACGAAGACCTCGGCTCCTTTGCAACCGTTGATAGGTTGGTTTTTGCATTGCGCTTGCATTACGAAACAGCAGGGGGTTTGGGCGCCATTTGCCAAAACAAGTCGAAGATCAGAACGCACAAGCTTCTTGCAGCCATTTGGTTTTGCAATTACGAAGTAGCGGGGGAGTTGGGGGGGCGCAGACCCACCCATTTGCAAAGCGTGGACGAAAATCTGAACACGCAGCCCCTTGCGACCCTTTGACCGATGTGTTTTGCAATGTGTCTGCATAACGAGAGAGCTGTTATTTGCAATATGCCGACTCTTCCAAGAGGCGCAAATTCTGGAACTTAAAACATTCCTAACTTCCCAAGAGCTCCCAATGCTGTGATTTACAAATTGCGTAGCCTTTCAAGAGCCGCGAACACTGTATTTGCAGTTTCCTGGCTTCTCACAAGTCGTAGCATTTCAACAGCCACAAATACCGTGTTGCAGGAGTCCAATCTTTTCAGAAGCTCCAGAAGGCGTAATTGGCAGAGTTTCTAACCTTCCAGAAGCCGCAACCGAAGACCAGAGGATCGAGAGACCAGAAGACGAGGGGACCAGAGGACCGGGGGACCAGAAGCCAGGCCTAACTGAGACACACCTAGGAAAAAAAAACTGGCCTCTTGGCCGCATCTGACGCCGCATCTGACCTAAATCCTAAACCCCAACCTCTCTCTCTCTCACTTGGTACTAAACCCCAACCTCTAAACCCTAAATCCCTGCAAGGGTCCCTCCAGGTTCGGAGTGGGCTCCGTCTTCATCCCCGCCATTGGCATTTCCAGCTCCTCGTCATCAGATCCAGCGACGTCCTCATCAGATCATGAAGGTCTAGGGTTGAGGGTTTAGGGCTTAGGGTTAAGGATGTGTAGGGCCTCTCGGGTGAGGGATATATAGCTTTTGTATCTAGGATGTAGGATGAAGAATGCAGGGCTTGGGGTGAAAGTTGTAGGACCCAAAGGTTGGGAATGTAGTATGCAGGGCGTTGGGTCCAGGATGTGGGGCTTAAGGTCATGCGTCTAGAGCTGAGGGTCAAGGATGTGGGGCCTTCGGGTTAAGGATGTAAGGCTTAGGGTCAAGGATTTGGGGTTTTCAGTTAAGGATATGATAATTTACCAAAATAGGGGGACCCCAATATAGACCCCAAAATACTATAACCCTTATTATTGGGACCCCCAAAATGGTACCCCTAATTTTGGGAAACCCCCATATAAGGTTGAGGATGTAGGGTTGAGGATTCCCGGTGAGAGGTGCTTTACTACGGTTGGCGCACAAAACCCTGCCTGACGCGAATGCCGCAAGCCTTGGCCTTCTAACAGAAGAGTATGTCCAGGGTTACGCAGGCATTTCTCCATCCACAATACCTCCCAAGCAAGGCATGAGCAAAATGCTATTACTATTAATAGCAATTATTACTATTACTATGACTATTACTATTACTATTATTACTACTACTATTTTTGTTATCATTACCAAGGAGGATTGGCCTTCTTCGCAGGGCGTCCTTAGTTGGAAACCCTTCTCGATCTTGAGCTTTAGCTTCACTTTGGCACTTCAGGGGGCCCTTGGCTGACTTTGTTAACAGAACAAACCCACGCAATAAGACCTGTGAAGAAGAGCTACTAGTAGGCTACCAGGCAGCACTGAGATGCACCTATTGCCTCGTGTCTGCAGCTGCCATATGGACCCTCAATTCTCTTACAAAAACCTGAAGCCCCCTCACAAACAGAAGCGCCCATGAAAGAAGCCGGAAGAGATCAGCCAAGCGTCGATGAAGGTATTGACCCTCAGCTGATGAAAACTGCTCTTTCTGCTGTTCTTTGTATGCTTTAGGAAGGAGGTAGGTCGAAAGGGAGATGGACAGATTCTACGGCCCACATGTGGCCCCACTTGATAGTTGAAGAACGTTGGCTCTCATTGTTGGGTTCGCCTTCCTGGGGTGCACGTGCATGGTGTGGCATGTCGGGCGGGTTGAATGAAGAGATGAGAACAAAGTAAAAGTGCACTCGGCGCCTAACACCTGTGCTAAACAAGGAATACCTCAAAATTGGGGACCGTAAGACCTTTGCAGTCAACACCGATTCAGCCAACCCGAATTCCACCATGCGGGGTGGAAACCAAGAGGGTGAATAGGATCCTCAAAGCTGATGACCACTAGCCTCGGCCCCCAGAGTTGCTTCATGCCCTGCAACCCTGAACCAGAAACCCTAAACCTGAGCTATCCAAAGTGGTAGACCTCGGGCAAGGCACACCCTGACCTTCGCAGACATGCCATTCGGCAAGCTCATTGCGAACAGGGAGAAAGCGAGAGTCCACACGCAAAAAGTCGCACTTGAGCCCAACAATTAAAAGGGTCATGGAGGGTTTGCATAGTAGAAGGTCTTCTCACAGGTTTAGGGTTTTGGGATATGCCCAGGGCATCTTCGGGCGGCAATTAAACATTCCGCACCGAATGGTTGGGCGTGAAGTTGCGAACACATTCCTAAAGGATAGATCTGAAGCAGAATAACCCTAAACCCTAAACCCTCAGAAAATAC